ATATTCATCTGCATTGACTTTTATAACTACATAATTAAATTCACTCATAATTTTAGTTTATTATGAGTTGAAATAGTTTCTTTTTTTTAAGATTTATTCATTTATTTATTTATTTATATAAGCACTGGGTACAGTCATAAGTGCAGGAGGGTGAGAGAATTTACCAGACTGATGAAGAATACTGCTGAGGGGAGCAGCGGGCGCAGCAGGGGAGGTCTGGTCCATTGAATCTTAAGAGGCAAAAAAGGGTACAATGACACTTTTGCAGAGTGAGTGATCTCAGTAAATTATTCATGGAAACCTTTGAGTTGGTAGAGCCTTCCTGAAAATCCACAAGGACCAAGGATTGCTGGGAGTCTGGTTGTTCTCATCAGTACACAGATATCATGTGATAGCCCAACTCCAGAGTAACTCAGGAAACAATGAGAATAGAAACTCATGTTTACTGTTTTATACCTTCCTGATGGAAATGTTCATGGAGTGATTCTTAACTTTTTTAAGATTTATTTATTTATTTTATACAAGAACTGGGGTATAGGTCAGAAGGTGGGAGGGTGAGAGAATTCACCAGAGCCAGAGTGGGGAGCAGAACAGGCAGACAGAGCGAAGACACTGCTGAGGGGAGCAGCAGGCGAGGCAGGAGAGGTCTGTCTGCCGCACCATGTAGTGTTCTCCCAGCTGGGAGGGAACTGAACCGGTGCTGCAGAGGCTGAAGACAGCTTCACAGCACACCGCTCAACTGCTGCGCCACCAGGGAGTCCACTTAATTTTTTAAAATATTTATTTATTTATTTATTTATACAAGAACCGGGGTACAGGCCAGATGCGCGGGAGGGTGAGAGGATTCACCGGAGACAGAGCAGGGAACAGATCAAGCAGACTGATGAAATACACTTCTGAGGGGAGCAGCGGGCGAGACAGGAGAGGTCTGCTGTGCCATGTGGGGCCCTCGCTGGCTGGCCGGGATCAAACCGGCACTGCAGAGGCTGTGGACAGCTTCACAGGGGAGACCCTGATTATTAATTTTTAAAAATCTTATAAATGATTTTCACATATTGTTTCGGGGGTGAGATTTTAATCTACATTTGCAGAAGTAGTATTTCTAGAGCTGTATGTGTGAATATTTATGTTATGCAAAGAGCACAATTTATAGAAACTTTCCTATTCTCATTTCTTTATTTAGATGTAAATCTTAGTTGATTATGCTATGCTTGTTAAAACAAATAAAAAGCTTTTGGTCTCCATTTCCTGACCTCACCTAAAAGGGCATGCCAAGAATAAAGAAGCAACTAAAAGGTCTTAAAGAAATTGTGCCCATGAAAAATGCTATTGTTGAAAAGGCAGCATTTTGCAAACTGTTGCCTCTGGACAAATAGGTTAACATCAAAGAAAGACACTTCCAAGATTTATGGAAGGCCTTAAACTACATGGAGGATGAAGCTCTAAATATGGTAAATTTTAACAATCCTTCTTGTTCTAAATGAGTAGACAACATCACGTAGTTTCAACACTGGACAACTGCTCAGAACCTTTAAATGTTTGCCTTGCAAATTATATGAAGTCTTCATTGAGAGGCTCCAAGTTCAAGAGCTTCTTCACAATTATCTGGAAGTTAGTCTGGACCTTGAGTCCTCTGCATATTTCTTTAATAAATTCACATAATTTTTGCTGATATTAGTTTATTTCAACCAAAAGTTCCCAATATATTTCTAGCTCCCCTCACAACCAAGAAATAACAGATGTACCTCAACAAAAGAGATCAGCTTTACTTCTTCTAACAACTTTTCTTAGAGCTGCCTTTATGGCTTGATTTCTCAGGCTATAGATCATTGGGTTGGCTGTTGGGGGCACAACTGTGTACATAATAGTGAGAAACACATCCAGTGCATTTGGAGAGTCAGAAGGTGGCTTGAGAAACTCAATGGAGCTGGTTGTAATAAACAACATGAACACAGTGAGGTGAGGAAGGCAAGTGGAAAAGGCCTTTGCTCGGCCCTCAGCAGATGGCATCCTCAGCACAGTAGAGAATATCTGTGCATAGGATAGTCCAATAAAGATGACACAAAGAAATACCACAATCGCTATGAAACAAGTGACACCAATCTCGCTGATATAATCGTTTGAACAAGAGAGTTTCAGGAGCTGGGGGATGTCACAGAAGAACTGGTGAATGACATGGGAGCCACAGAAGTGGATGGAGAAAGTGGCAGCTGTGTGCATGATTCCAGAAATGACTGCACTGACCCAGACACCCAGGACTCCATGGATACAGGTGTTGACATCCATGATGATTTCATAGCGCAGTGGAAGGCAGATGGCCACGAAGCGATCATAAGACATCACTGTCAGGATGGACAGCTCAGCAGAGCTACATAGAGCAAAAGCAAAGCACTGCACTATGCATTCACCAAAGGAAATGTAGCCACTATGCTTTAAAGAGTTGTAAATGGCCCTTGGCACAGTCACGGAAATGTAGCACAAGTCCAGGAAGGAGAGATGTTTCAAGAAGAAATACATTGGTGACTGGAGACTATTGTCCGTGGAAGTTGCAGTGATAATGAGGAGATTTCCAGTTAATGCCATCATGTATAAGACTAAGAACAGAGAAGAGTGGACGAGTTCTAGTTCAGGCTTGGCAGAAAATCCCATCAGAACAAACCCACTGATAGTGAAATTAGCCATAGTCCTTAATTCCCCAGTGATGTCGGCTGCAAGACAAGATGGAACCATTGGAAATATTACTTATTCACCTAAACTTCCTGGATTAATAAAGATAGGCAAGAAGTGACTTGAAGAAGACACCAGTTCATCTTAAATGTGAAAGTAGTGCTAATAATCATTTACACTAATAATCATGTCAACCAATTTTAAATCACTTATTATCAGTTAAGGAAACATGAGTAAGGAATTATGAATTTTAATATCACTATTTCTATCAAAGATCAGAAAAAGGGGGCCTCTCTTGGTGGCACAGTGGTTGAGCGCTGGGTTGCGAGGCTGCCCGCAGCCTCAGCAGTCCCAGTTCGATCCCTGGCCACCGGCAAGGGTCCCACAAAAAAAAAAAAAAAAAATCAAAGATCAGAAAAAGGGTTGTATATTATAGAAAACTTAAAAAATATTCTTAAAGTATAAATTCTTATTAATTGAACTATGGATCATTGAGTTTGGATTCTATAGAAAACTTTTTATTACAGTTCATATAATACTTTATATTTAAATATTTATGAATATTACTTTATAATACTTTATAAATGTTTCTTAGTTACCTATACATTTACTTATACATTAATTTTCCAAAGGAAATGGAAAAGTACATTTCCTGGATATTTTTTTAAGAAAATAGCTAATACACTCATGAAAATATCATTTACTCTAATTTTTAGTTAAATAAAATTTGAAACAACTATGAAATATCAATTTGTACCCAACACATTAGCTAAGAATTAAAAAAATACTCAGTTATTAGGATGAAAGACATCTATTGGTAACATACAGCTGAGGAGTTTTGACCCTAGACAATGTTATAAACAAATGTTGCATCAGTAGAATTATTGATATCAAAAAATAATTTATATGATGCTTATTTCATTAAATAGACACAGAATAAAATTAAAGCATGCAAGCGATATGTTCCTTCTTTTGTTCGATTTTCTGGAATATGGAAAATTATTTACCAGACTCTAAAACAGTCTGCAACTTTAGCTATTTAACACTATTAGATAACATCTCAGTTAAGCTGATAATTAATGTTAAGAAAACCATGTTCGGGCCTCCCCGGTGGTGCAGCGGTTGAGCGCTGGGTTGCGAACCTGCCAGCGGCCTCTGCGGCACCGGTTCGATCCCCGGCTGCTCCCCGGCCACCGGAGGAGGGTCCCACATGGCGCGCAGACCTCTCCTGCTGCCCGCTGCTCCCCTCAGCAGTGTACTTCGGTCCTTCTGCCTGCTCTGCTCCCCGCTCTGGCTCTGGTGAATTCTCTCACCCTCCCGTGCTTCTGGCTGTACCCAGTGCTTGTATAAACAAAACAAACAAACAAACCAATAAGCAAATAAATAAACATGCCTCTATAAAAAAAAAAAAAAGAAAACCATGTTCATTTAAAATTAGTACAGTAGCAAAATCTATTGACAAATCCTAAAAATATTTTCATGATAATATTTTAGGTGTTCTTGAAAGTTACCTCTATGAAGTGTTTTTTCTAAAATGGGACCTGGTCACATTTTGATGACATAGAAGGAAGAGATATTATGTACATTTTATGTTCTCAAGATATGTAAATCCACAAATGCAGAGAATAAAGAGTATAAGGAAATGACATGTGTAATAACAGTAATTATTCATTCATGGTGAGTGAATGATTGTGTTTATTGCAAGTTATAGGTTTGTATAGATTATCATGACCTGAGATACATAAGAAAATGATCCTCGGGCCTCCCCTGGCATCCCCTGGTGGCGCAGCGGTTGAGCGCTGGGCTGCGAGGCTGCCCCAGCCTCTGCAGCGCCGGTTCATTGCCTGGCCACCGGCAAGGGTCTCACCAAAAAAAAAAAAAAAAAAAAAAAGAAAGATCCTCTTCTTTTAGTTTTCCATCCTGAAATTCATGATTTACTTAGAAGCAGAGCTGGTGGATTCTTCTAACTTCTGTAGTGAACTATGTAATTTTCTTGGGGAATTATTTATGTCTGTGATATATGGAGAGGACTTGGCGTAGATGAGACAGTCCCTTGCATATGCAGTAAACTTATTCAAAAATTGGGTCATCCCTGTTGTTTTGTGGGCACACATGTGTGTATGTGTATGTCTAGGTGTGGTCCCCTGGAATCTTAAAATACTGTCAAATTAATCCTAGTGATTTCATATCTAAGCCACACTAAAGAGACGTTGAAGATGGCACCTGATATTTCTAGAGTTTATAATGACACGCCTACTGATCAAGGCAGATGAGGTGTATGGGACCTCTAGAAATCCCGTTTCTAAGTGTCTGAGAGAATGTTGCTTGATTTTTGTTTTGAAAAACAAAAAAGTCTGCAGTCCACATGCATGGAAGTATTGCATTACTTATCCAAAAGTATTCTGATTGGACCTCCCAATAATTTAAATCAACTATTGCCAATAATTAGTACAGTGACCGTATTGTGACATTAAATTCATTTTTTGTTCCATCTTTAAATCATTACATATATTTTTCCTTTCTTAAATACAAATACATGAACACGGGGTCTCGCCTGTTGGCGCAGTGGTTGAGCGCTTGGCTGCGAAGCAGCCCGCAGCCTCTGCAGCACCGGTTTGATCCCCGGCCCCCAGGGAGGGCCCCACATGGCGTGCAGACCTCTCCTGCCGCCCGCTGCTCCCCTCAGCAGTGTATTTCCGTCCATCTGTCTGTTGTTAAACGCTCTGGCTCTGGTGAATTCTCTCACCCTCCTGCACTTCTGACTGTACCCAGTGCTTTTCTAAATAAATAAATCAATCAAAAACTTAAAAAAAAAACAACAAATAGATGAACACACACACATGCCCATATGTGTAATGCATTTCAACCCAATTATATGGGTTTGTAAAAGTAACTTTTTCACATTTTGAATTATGAGACTCTAAGACTTGTTTTATATACAGTTGTATTATTGTCTGTGAAACCAAGTACAGATACAGGAAAAAATTACTTTGGGTTTTTTTTTGTCTTTTTTTTACTGACTGATCAAGTTAACTAAGAAAAAATGATAGGTTCTTTTTTTACTTTAATGAAATTCCTATTTTAAGTGTCGAGCAGGATTTCACATGGATTTATGTCTTTAATTATATTATTTCAGTGTCTACAAGTTATTTACCTTACTGTAAAATGGGCTTTCAAGATCTAAGATCTCTACCACTGTTTAGGAACTAAACATTAACATTTCTGTACTTGAATTTTTAGATTTAGGTGGATAAAATATTTAAAAACAACAAAAGTCTTTGATAACTGTGTTATGGTATAGTTAATGCTTTTTACAAGCTATATTTTTTAGAAACAATAAGAAGGCCTGATGACTGGTTATGATGAGAAGTATGATCTCTGATTATGCTCTTTCAATCTATCAATGATTTCTTTTCATTCTTAATTTTAAGTTTTTCTACCAAAGTTCAACAATTGTTCTGTGATTGCTGATGTGAAAAACATCTCCTATGTCTTATGAGTCATAGAACAAACACAAAGAAGATCATACAGTACCATACCATCATACACTCATGCTACATTATATCTATGCTGGTTATCTAAAGAAAGGCATTGCTAGGGAGGTCGAATTGCACTCCGCAAAATGATCTGGAATGGAAAGAGTTTACAACATTCTCTAACAGATTCTTAATTCCCACTTAAATAATCTAGATCATATACAGTATTTCATCATCTACAAGCTAAGTGGCAGTGACTGGTTCTCTCACCCACTCAATACCAGTAATTTACAGCTTTCACTTTAGTGTGTAATCTAGCTTTTTAGAACCTAAGGAAACTCACCTGAGCATATTCAAGAACTTCTGTCCTCAACAGGAGAAGTTGTCAGTGTGAGCTGCTGACCTCTGAATTCAGTAACTTTCAGAAAAATGTGGACTGTGGTGAAAAAATAAGTCCATTTCAACCTTCTTTTTGGCCACTGGAGGTTACACTATGTAATCCGTTTGGCACAAGTGTAGTGTCTTGTTGCTGTGGATATTTGTTCTCTGTAAAATACCCTGGGACCCAATTATTCGAAAACATTTTCATTTGTGTGTTGGATTCTGAAAATCCAACAAAAAGATTTAATTCCATTCATTGAATTAACAGGTCATTCATTTTACCAATAACTAGCTAATATTACAATGTCTAATAGACATGCCCATAATCTGAAAAATGTCAATTATCAATGATGACTACCAATGATGCAGCAAAATAACCCCATCTTTACTGAAGTCCCAATGTAATTTAACTTTGAGTGAGGTAGTAATCAATAGCTCTTTTTAAGAAAACTGAATGTCAATCTATGTTTTGTCTAGTAATTATTGACAACAAATGCATTGTTTCAAGTTTAAATTCAAATTAGAAGAGGTGACACTGTGCATTCCTTTGTCACAAAACTTGTCTTACACCAGGCAGGCTTTCATTTCAGGAATGTGTGTTTTCCAAACCTATAAAAGCCATGAAATAAAATTGAGATTGATTCCAAGTAAACTGTCACTTTGAAACAAACTTGTAGCTAATTATCAATGCATACCACACTTGTAAACTAAGAATGGCATACAAGGGTTTAAATTACTCATTTAGCACATGTAGCTATATGAATTTGAAGAATACATCGTCTCCATTAATTCATGAGAAAAGATCTATAGGTCTGTGAAGACATGGAACAACAAAGAAATATGTCTTTGAAAAATCAGAATTTAGGTATAGCTTGAAGTTTGGAAGTATGATACTTCCCATCTCCTTTGTTTTTATCAGTAGGGCTTAGGCTCATGGTTTTTTGTGGTTCCATATGAATTTCATCCATATTTGTTTATTTCTTTGAAGAATGTCATTGAGATTTTTATTGGAATAGCATTGAATCTGTAGATTGCTTTTGGTAGGATGGTCATTTTAATAATGTTAATTGTTCCAATCCATGAGCATGGGATGTCTTTCCATTTCTTTGTGTCTTCTTCAATTTCTTTTAACAGTGTTTTATAATTTTCTTAACATAG